CCTTTTCGCATGCCCGAGTATCACTTACGACCCCGAGAAAGTTTCGGTGGGGAAAATTACCACCTCGGGAACCGAGGAAGTAGTAAATCTGAAATTTTAGTATGGCATCCTCTGCCCTCGCAAATTTTCAACATCCCCATGGAATTTTTGGCGGGAAAAATCATTACCTCTGGAGCCAGAAGAGTTAGAAGGCTAAGAATTTCAGGGGATGCTTCCTGCCTAAGTAGAAGCCTCACAAACTTAAATTCAGTTCCCAAATATGCCAAGCTCTCACGTACGACACGCAAAAGTTTTGTCGCAAAAATCACTCGGGAGTCAGAAAATTAGGAGACTGAAATTATGGAGGGATATTCACCTTTCGAGGTTTCAAATTCAGTTTTCACATGCCAGTACGTGAAATTTTTAGGGGGAAATTCCACAGCTTGAGGAGCAGAGAACATTTCAACTATTTTTACACAGAGCAGAGTTTAAAGCAGTGAAAATTATTACCAGGCAATCGTTCGGTGGACGGAATTGCACAGAATTCATGATGGCACCGGTTATTTTGGTGAGTGCTGCTATTTGGTCAAATTTGTTTTTCATGTTTCGGTAAAGCGGGGTACCGAAGCGCTAGAGCACTAGGGCCTAACTGAGATAACAGAGTAACCGCTGTCTTTCTTCACTAAACGAATTTAGATTCTGTTACTGATTAAAAAATAATGAACTCGGAATTTTTCTACTACTAGCGTATCCCAAAAACAGAGATATTCTACTCTGCCTGTCCCAAAATTATCCGAATTTACTCACTAAACCATCAGGTTGCATCACCGCATTCAACCGAAGCCACTGTTTCAGATTAACAAAGTAGCTCACTGGTCGTTGAGTTTGCCAGCAGTACTGCTCGTTAACTTTTCTGTTCTCCAGCAATATTCCATTGGTATCGTTAGAGCTTTCGACACAGTACACTGTTCTGGATTGATGTCCACCGTCACAAGATACAGTACATTCAGACCACTTCCCAACCATCCATCTAAAATTTGTAAAAATTTGCTAAAAAGTGTAATGAAAGCAGCCTGATCAATAGCAATATTGTTAGTAAAATGTGCAAAGCTCAAATTTTACTGAACAGTAGTGTTTCCGAGGGACAAATCATCAAAAAATGCAGTGGTCAAAATTCCGTTCCACTCCACCCCCTTCCTCTTTTTTGCAATTAATTCAGCTTGAATTTAACATTACTAAAGCTAATTAGTAAAATTCGGGTTCAACTTAACAATTTTTAGTTAAATTTCCTATTAAACACTGCTTTTTTGAGTTTCCGTTTTTTAAGCCTCCACGACCTGAATAGAACTGGTATTCTCTATCATCCTCGAAACACCACTGTTTTCTAGCAATAACACTGTAAAAAAGTTAGTGAAAGCAAAGAAAAAAAAACTCACAAGCATTTATTTCCAAACGAAGTATGCGCAGGAAGGAAAAATCATGGAGGCTGCGAGAAATTATACGTCATTTATCACGAAAATCGCATGCTCTTTTGATGCACCAACAAACTTTCTCAAATTTGCAAAATGGGAAAAAATTTTCATCAAGCAAGGGATCACTGCCCTTTTTCCAAACATCTTCCACACGCGCACTTCTTTGAAAATGGCAAGCAGAAAATTGAAATATATTTCGTCAAGCCTTTGCAAAAGCAGACATTCACAATGAAACTGGAAAAACTGCTTTCAAGAAAACATTGTCTCAAGAGATAACTTTCTCACGGAAGCAGACACTCGAAGCATACATGCAAGCCCCGACCTTCCCATGCCCTCAAGTTTAGATCACGTCAAGACGATTTTTTAGAATTGTTAAATTCTAATTTTTCATTTTGGTGAAGCTGCAAGC